GGATTGGGAGAATGTCATATGGTCAGATGAAACCAAAATAGAACTTTTTGGTAAAAACTCAACTTGTCGTGTTTGGAGGACAAAGAATGCTCAGTACACCATACCTACTGTGAAGCATGGGGGTGGAAACATCATGCTTTGGGGCTGTTTTTCTGCAAAGGGACCAGGACGACTGATCCGTGTAAAGGAAAGAATGAATGGGGCCATGTATCGTGAGATTTTGAGTGAAAACCTCCTTCCATCAGCAAGGGCATTGAAGATGAAACGTGGCTGGGTCTTTCAGCATGACAATGATCCCAAACACACCGCCCGGGCAACGAAGGAGTGGCTTCGTAAGATGCATTTCAAGGTCCTGGAGTGGCCTAGCCAGTCTCCAGATCTCCAGTGTTGCCCAGCGACAGCCCCAAAACATCACTGCTCTAGAGGAGATCTGCATAAAGGAATGGGCAAAAAATACCAGCAACAGTGTGTGAAAACCTTGTGAAGACTTACAGAAAACGTTTGACCCGTGTCATTGCCAACAAAGGGTATATAAGAAAGTATTGAGAAACTTTTGTTATTGACCAAATACTTATTTTCCACCATAATTTGCAAATAAATTCATAAAAAATCCTACAATGTGATTCTCTGGAAAAAAAATTCTCATTTTGTCTGTCATAGTTTACGTGTACCTATGATGAAAATTACAGGCCTCTCTCATCTTTTTAAGTGGGAGAACTTGCACAATTGGTGGCTGACTAAATACTTTTTTCCCCCACTGTATTACTCCCTGCAGGGCAAGTTGGTTTATCCTGTCGTCCTGTCCGCGGACGCGCTCCTCGAACGACTCGGGTGCTGCTGCTGCTCCTGCTGATTCCATCGATATGGTCTGTAATTCTGTCAGTGTGGAATGTGGATGTGGTGCAGGAATCAGGCGCAGGACACAGAGGCTTCGTCCAACAGGCTTTAGTCATGAAAAACAAACGGGCCACAACAAGAGCCGGAGTCAAAAAGAAATTACGCACACACTGCGTAAAAACACTAGCACCAAAAATAGCGCGCACACAAGTGCGGAAAACTCTCTCCAAACAATGGAGGAAACAAACACGGCACCTTCTGACGGGTGAACAATTACACACAACACAAGACTCAAACAACGAGAACTTATAGGACACATAATAAGCACAAAACGGAAACAGGTGTACCAAAAAGACAAAACCAAACAAACATCGAAAACATACAACGGTGGCAGCTAGTACTCCGGGGACGACGACCGCCGAAGCCTGCCCGAACAAGGAGGAGGAGCAGCCTCGGCCGAAACCGTGACATTTGATTGACAACGCTTCTTACTTCTGTAACAATGTAAAAATGCAAACAACTATTCAGACTTTTTCAAAATGTAGGTAACATCTCTCAATAAGACTTAGTACAGACCAGACCAGGGCTTACACAAAGTGTAGAAGTAGTAGCCTACTTTGACAACAATTCAGTGAAAGTATTAGATAGAGATAAAGAAGATACAAAACACAACAACAATAAAAAGATTTGTACGACAAATTCATATTTCACACTGTTACCTGATGTGTTTTGCATTTAGCCTACAACATGTAGGAACTTCTGGAATCACGGAACAGAACACATAGAGCACCGAAAGGAGGTTTCTGCACATCTCCCACTCTTTGCACTGCGTCCACTCCGGATGCACACCACACTTCATCTGCTTTCAAATTAGTTTCATCTCGGTCCACACGCCCTGGGTGCCTCACTCTTGGCTCCCCTCTTCCTGCCACTGTAGCCATATCACAAAGTGAATGCACAAGCTGCATTTTGAATGCCTTCAGGGACCAGCACCTAAAGTTTATGGGAAGGGACCTTTGCAGGGTCCCCCACACAATGTACGCATTTATGATGGAAATGTTGAGCATCCCCCAAAACACATACTTCCATCATTTTCTGCCTGTGCGTCCAACATTGCAATAGCGCCACAGTTGGTCAAGATGGTCAACCCCGCCCATTCTCTTGTTGTAAACCATTACAACCTCTGGAACATATTTGAAGTTCCTACCACTTTTTAAAAACATATCCAAAACCCCTGCCACTGTCACTTTAGGCCCAAACTGTGTGGTACAAGGGTGAATGGTGGGACCCTGGGGCAGGCACACTTCATGGAGACGTAGGCTCCCCTCTCGGGTGTACTCTCCCTCTTCTTAATCCTCTCCCTCTTCTTTCTCCTCTTCCTCTGCTTCCTCCTCTTCCTCTGCTTCCTCCTCTCCCTCTGCTTCCTCTTCTCCCTCTGCTTCGTCCTCTCCCTCTGCTTCCTTCTCTCCCTCTGCTTCCTTCTCTCCCTCTGCTTCATCCTCTTCCTCTGCTTCCTCCTCTCCCTCTGCTTCCTCCTCTCCCTCTGCTTCCTCCTCTCCCTCTGCTTCCTCCTCTCCCTCTTCCTACATGTTCCTCTCCTCTCCCTCCTCCTCCTCTCCTGTTCTTCTCTCCCTCCACTCTCCTCTACTTCCTCTTCACTCTCATGTTCCTCTCTCCCTCCACTCTCCTCTACCTCCTCTTCACTCTCCTGTTCCTCTCTCCCTCCACTCTCCTCTCCCTCCTCTTCACTCTCCTGTTCCTCTCTCCCTCCACTCTCCTCTACCTCCTCCTCCTCTCCTGTTCCTCTCTCCCACCACTCTCCTCTTGCTCCACTGCTCCCTTCTTGCTCCTCATCTCTATTCCATCAATCATCTCTAACTCCTCTTCCTCCCTGCCTTTTGCTGCTGAGCCCTGACTCTCCACATCACTTCCCTCCCTTTCACTGACCTAGAGGAACAGAGGGAGAGGAGAGGAGAGGAGAGGAGAGGAGAGGAGAGGAGAGAGGAGAGAGAGAGAGAGAGGAGACGAGAGAGAGAGAGAGAGAGATGAGAGGAGAGAGAGAGAGAGAGAGAGAGAGAGAGGAGAGGAGAGAGAGAGAGAGAGAGAGGAGAGGAGAGGAGAGGAGAGGAGAGGGCAAACAACTAGGATACAATAGTAGTCAGGAACATAATCTCTCTCTCTCTCTCTCTCTCTCTTTCTCTCTCTCTCTCTCTCTCTCTCTCTCTCTCGCTGGAGGGTCAGGAACCTTTTGGGCGTTTCTGTCCCAGTGTTCCCTCATCTTCGAGCCTTTCCCCTTGGACCGCTTATCTCATAACGCTAATGGGAACCTGAGGAGACTTGATGAGCATGAACTGATTTGACCCAGGGGCAGTGTCAGAGGCTTCTTCTCCACTTACTTGCACCCCTCTCCATGCCATCCTGCTGTGGGGGCGACCAGTCGAAATCTCTCTGGGTTCTCATTGACTGGGGCCGATGATTGCTTTATGGACGCTACCCTGGTGTCTGAGCTAGGCATCCCCGCTCAACCCCTCTCCATTCCCATGGACGTCAGAGCACTGGACAGGTGCTCTATAGGCAGGGCCACTCACAATACTACTCCTATCTACCTGCGTGTGTCTGGGTCAATGCAGTTCATGCTCATCAAGTCTCCTCAGGTTCCCGTGGTATTGGGGTTTTCTTGGCTCCAGCGCCACAATCCTCTTATCAACTGGACTGCTGGTACTATCATGGGCTGGAGCCCGTTCTGCCATCCCATTGCTTGAAATCGGCGCAGTCTGCCCCGGGACGTCTTCCTGTGGGCTCGGAAGAAGCCTTGAACCTCTCCGCCATTCCCGCGAAGTACCAGAACCTCCGGGAGGTTTTCAGCAAGGCCCGGGCCACTTCACTTCCTCTGCATCGACCCTATGACTGCGGGATCAACCTTTTCCCGGGCACTACACCACCCCGGGGACGTATTCACTGTCGAGTCCGGAGACCAAGGCTAAGGAGATCACCGAGGACTCCCTGGCTGCAGGGGGTGTCCGTCCTTCTGCCTCCCCCGCCGTGCATCGACTACCGGGGCCTCAATGACATCACAGTTAAGAACCACTGTCACGCCCTGGCTCGGGGGACTCTAGTATGTTGAGCCAGGGTGTGAGTTTTCATTTGTGTTCATTCTAGTATTGTGTTTCTATGTTGGCCAGTGTGGTTCTCAATCAGAGGCAACGAGTATCAGCTGTTGCTTGTTGTCTCTGATTGGGAACCATACTTAAGCAGCAAGTTTTCCCACAGTGTTTGTGGGATCTTATTCCTGTTGTAGGTTTGTGTTTTGCACCTTTGGACCTCAGTATCGTTTTTGTTATTTTGTTCGTGTATCAATAATAAAAGCATGTTCGCAAATAACGCTGCGCATTGGTCCTCTGTATACGACGATCGTGACAGAAGATCCCACCAAAACTGGACCAAGCAGCGTGTCCAGGAGCCATCGCCAGGGGAATCGCTAGCGGATCTCCATGGCAACCTCGACTGGGTCAAGCCTAGTGAAGAGCAGAGAGGGTGGACTTGGGAGCAGTGGAGGAAGAGTCTCGACTGGGTCAAGCCAAGTGAAGAGCAGAGAGGTTGGACTTTGGAGCAGTGGAGGAAGAGTCTGGCGAGAGATATGGAGGCCTGGTCCACGGTGACGAGAGACACCCAGAACATTTTTAGGGGGGGGGCTCACGCCGTGGACGACGGGGCAGCAGGAGGCCGCGATAGAGCGGTCCAGCGGGTTGGCAGAGGAGGCCGCCAGGTTACGGGGGCCACTGGTATTAAAGGGGAAGGAAAGTGTAGAGGCACGGCGAGAGGTACTGGGGTGTGTTACCAGTCCGGTCTGGCCCGTTCCTGATCCCCGCGTAGGGCCAGTGGTGTGTGTCCCCAGTACGGTCCGGTCTGTTCCTGTCCCTTGCACCGAGCCTGTGGTGCGCGTCGCCAGCCCAGTCCGGTCCATTCCTGCTCTCCGCACCAAGCCTATGGTGCGCGTCGCCAGCCCGGTCCGGCCCGCTCCTGCTCCCCGCACCAAGCCAATGGTGCGCGTCGCCATCCCGGTCCGGCCCGTTCCTGCTCCCCGCGCCAAGCCAATGGTGCGCGTCGCCAGCCCGGCCCGGCCCGGCCCGGCCCGGCCTGTTCCTGCTCCCCGCACCAAGCCTATGGTGCGCGTCGCCAGCCCGGCCCGGCCTGTTCCTGCTCCCCGCACCAGGCCAATGGTGCGCGTCGCCAGCCCGGTCCGGCCCGCTCCTGCTCCCCGCACCAAGCCAATGGTGCGCGTCACCAGCCCGGTCCGGCCTGTTCCTGCTCCCCGCACCAAGCCTATGGTGCGCGTCGCCGGCCCGGCCCGGCCTGTTCCTGCTCCCCGCGCCAAGCCAATGGTGCGCGTCGCCAGTCCGGCCCGGCCTGTTCCTGCTCCCCGCACCAAGCTTATGGTGCGCGTCGCCAGCCCGGTCCGGCCCGTTCCTGCTCCCCACACCAAGCCAGTGGTGTGCGTCGTCAGTCCGGCACGGCCCGTGCCTGTTCCACCGGTGCCTGGTCCGGCACCGGTCAGCTGCTTCACGCTGGAGCTGGAGCAATCCGCTCCACCAGTGTGCAGTCCAGCTCCGGTCAGCGGGGCCAGACCGGACCAGGGGTACTTTGGGGGGTTGGAGAGGGAGTGGGGATCAGGTCCGGAGCCGGATCCGCCGCCAAGGCGGAGTGCCCACCCGGTCCCTCCCCTGTGGTGTTTGGTTGGCGCGGCCGGAGTCCGCGCCTTTGGGGGGGGGGGGGGGTACTGTCACGCCCTGGCTCGGGGGACTCTAGTATGTTGAGCCAGGGTGTGAGTTTTCATTTGTGTTCATTCTAGTATTGTGTTTCTATGTTGGCCAGTGTGGTTCTCAATCAGAGGCAACGAGTATCAGCTGTTGCTTGTTGTCTCTGATTGGGAACCATACTTAAGCAGCCAGTTTTCCCACAGTGTTTGTGGGATCTTGTTCCTGTTGTAGGTTTGTGTTTTGCACCTTTGGACGTCACGTATCGTTTTTGTTATTTTGTTCGTGTATCAATAATAAAAGCATGTTCGCAAATAACGCTGCGCATTGGTCCTCTGTATACGACGATCGTGACAACCGCTAAATGCTACCACTCATCGCCTCGGCTTTCGAGCTGCTCCAAGGGGCCACTATCTTCTCTAAGTTGGACCTGCAGAACGTTTACCACCTGGTACGGATACAGGAGGGTGACAATTGGAAGACAGCTAGCGGACAATACAAATACCTGGTGATGCCATTCGGTCTGACCAATGCTCCTACTGTGTTCCAGGCTCTGGTTAATGACGTTCTCCAGCGACATGTTGAACCGGTTCGTGTTCGTCTACCTCAATGACATCCTCGTCTGTTTCCGCTCAAGAACACGTTCTCCACGCCACAGGTCCTCCAGTGTCTCTTGGAGAACCAGATTTTTGTAAAAGCCAAAAAATGCGAATTCCATCGCTCCACCATCTCCTTCCTTGGATACATCATCGGTGCTGGGAATGTGCAGATGGATCCCAGAAAGGTGAGAGCTGTGGTGGATTGGCCCCAACCCACTTCCAGAGTGCAGCTGCAACGCTTCTTAGGATTTACCCATTTCTATCGCCATTTTATCAGGGGTTACAGATATTCATAGGCAATACATTGCCGTGTTTTCCTATTTGACAGTTTAGCTGTCGTGTCAGGGTAGTAGAGCTCATATGATGGTTACAGCACCCTGGCTTCCCCCCTTTCAGCACTCACCTCTCCCAAGGTCCCGTTCACGTGGTCCCCAGCTGCTGACCAGGCGTTCCTGGACCTTAAGCACCGCTTCACCACAGCTCCCATATTGATGCAGCCCGTCAGTTCGGGGTGGAGGTCGTTTGGATGTCGGAGTGGGGGACGTCCTGCCCTGGACCATACAGTGCCTTGCAAAAATTATTCATCCCCCTTGGCATTTTTCCTATTTTGTTGCATTACAACCTGTAATTTAAATGGATTTTTGTTTGGATTTCATGTAATGGACATACACAAAATAGTCCAAATTGGTGAAGTGAAATGAAAAAAATAACTTGTTTCAAAAAATTCTAAAAAATTAAGAACGGAAAAGTGGTGCGTGCACATATATATTCAACAACTTTGCTATGAAGCCCCTAAATAAGATCTGGTGCAACCAATTACCTTCAGAAGTCACATAATTAGTTAAAAAAAGTCCACCTGTGTGCAATCTAAGTGTCACATGATCTGTCACATGATCTCAGTATATACAGTGTCCTATGGTAATTGGTTGCACCAGATCTTATTTAGGGGCTTCATAGCAAAGGTGTTGAATATATATGTGCACGCACCACTTTTCCGTTCTTAATTTTTTAGAATTTTTTGTGGTCCTCTGTAGCTCAGCCGGTAGAGCACGGCGCTTGTAACGCCAAGGTAGTGGGTTCGAGCCCCGGGACCACCCATACACAAAAAAAAATAAAAAATGTATGCACGCATGACTGTAAGTCGCTTTGGATAAAAGCGTCTGCTAAATGGCATATTATTATATTATATTATTACAGTGAGGGAAAAAATATTAATACTTATTTCCCTAATTAAAATGCAAATTAATTTATAACATTTTTTACATGCGTTTTTCTGGATTTTTGTTGTTGTTATTCTGTCTCTCACTGTTCAAATAAACCTACCATTAAAATTATAGACTGATCATGTCTTTGTCAGTGGGAAAACGTACAAAATCAGCAGGGGATCAAATACTTTTTTCCCTCACTGTATACACCTGTTCTGAAAGGCCCCAGAGTCTGCAACACCACTAAGCACGGGGCATCACCAAGCAAGCGGCACCATGAAGACAAAGGAGCTCTCCAAACAGGTCAGTGACAAAGTTGTGGAGAAGTACAGATCAGGGTTGGGTTATAAAAAAATATCCGAAACTTTGAACATCACACGGAGCACCATTAAATCCATTATAAAAAAATTGAAAGAATATGGCACCACAACAAACCTGCCAAGAGAGGTCCGCCCACCAAAGCTCACGGACCAGGCAAGGAGGGCATTATTCAGAGAGGCAACAAAGAGAACAAAGATAACCCTGAAGGAGCTGCAAAGCTCCACAGCGGAGATTGGAGTATCTGTCCATAGGACCACTTTAAGCCGTCCACTCCACAGAGCAGGGTTTACGGAAGAGTGGCCAGAAAAAAGCCATTGCTTAAAGAAAAAAATAAGCAAATACGTTTGGTGTTCGCCAAAAGCCAGGTGGGAGACTCCCCAAACATATGGAAGAAGGTACTCTGGTCAGATGAGACTAAAATTGAGCTTTTTGGCCATCAAGGTAAATGCTGTCTGGCGCAAATCCAACACCTCTCATCACCCCGAGAACACCATCCCCACAGTGAAGCATGGTGGTGGCAGCATCACATTGTGGGGATGTTTTTCATAGGCAGGGACTGGGAAACTGGTCAGAATTGAAGGAATAATGGATGGCGCTAAATACAGGGAAATTCTTGAGGGAAACCTGTTTCAGTCTTCCAGAGATTTGAGACTGGGACGGAGGTTCACCTTCCAGCAGGACAATGACTCTAAGCATACTGCTAAAGCAACACTTGAGTGGTTTAAGGGGAAACATTTAAATGTCTTGGAATAGCCTAGTCAAAGCCCAGACCTCAATCCAATTGAGAATCTGTGGTATGACTTAAAGATTGCTGCACACCGGCAGAACCCATCCAACTTGAAGGAGCTGGAGCAGTTTTGCCTTGAAGAATGGGCAAAAATCCCAGTGGCTAGATGTGCCAAGCTTATAGAGACATACCCCAAGAGACTTGCAGCTGCAATTGCTGCAAAAAAGGGCTCTAAAAAATATTGGGGGGGGGGGGGGTGAATAGTTATGCACGCTCAAGTTCAGTTTTTTTTCGTCTTATTGCTTATTTGTTTCACAAAAAAAATTATTTTGCATCTTCAAAGTGGTAGGCGTGTTGTGTAAATGAAATGATACAAACCCCCCAAAAATCCATTTTAATTCCAGGTTGTAAGGCATCAAAATAGAAAAAATGCCAAGGGGGGTGAATAGTTTTGCAAGCCACTGTAGGAGGTTGCTGTAGTGGTGGTGGCTATAGTGGCCACTGTAAGCTGCATCCCTGTGCCTTCTTCTCTCATCATCTTAACACCACGGAGAGGAACTATGATATGGGGAATCGGGAACTACTTGCGGTGAATATGGCATAGGAGGAGTGGAAACACTGGTTAGAGGGAGGGTACTTCCATTCATTGTGTGGAAGGATCACAAGAACCTGGAATATCTCCGCACCTCTGTTGTTCACCCGGTTCAACTTCACCATCTCCTACCGCCCGGGGTCTAAGAATGTTAAGCCGGACGCGCTTTCACGCCGCTATAGGTTCGCTTCTACACCCTCGGACCCCAAGGCCATCCTTCCTACCTCGTGCCTGGCGGCTACCCTCTTGTGGGGAATAGAAAACCAGGTCCGTGAGGCGCAGCGTTCCCAGCCGGACCCGGGGGGTGGGGCGGCTATCTGGATGTTTGTTCCAGACGCTGCCCGCTCCCCTGTCCTGGAATGTGTGGCTTTTGGTGTCCCACTATGGTCCCTGATGTCTCCGCGTTAGTCGCCGCCTGCACTGTCTGTTCTCAGAACAAGATTCCTCGAAAAGCTCCGGCTGGCCTCCTTCAACCTCTTCCTGTCCCTCACCGTCCCTGGTCACATATATCCCTGGACTTCCTATCCTCATGGTGGTGGACAGGTTGTCCAAAGCCGCCCATTTCATTCCCTTCTCCAAGCTATCTTCTGCCAAGAAGACTTAAAGTGTGGAGGAGGAGGTGTTATGGTGTGGGGGTGCTTTGCTGGTGACACTGTCTGTGATTTATTTAGAATTCAAGGCACACTTAACCCGCATGGCTACCACAGCATTCTGCGGCAATACGCCATCCCATCTGGTTTGGGCTTAGTGGGACTATCATTTGTTTTTCAACAGGACAATGACCCAACACACCTCCAGGCTGTGTAATATTTTACCAAGAAGGAGAGTGATGGAGTGCTGCATCAGATGACCTGGCCTCCACAATATATAATATACTGTATATACACATATCAAATATTACTGCCCATATATCTACCTCAAATACCTCGTACGTCTGCACTTTGATCTGGTACTGGTACTCCATTCTTGTGGATTTTATTTTATTCCTCTTGTGTTAATATTTTAAAACTATTATTTTAAACTCTGCATTGTTCAGAAGGGCGCGTAAGCAAGCATTTTACAGGAAAGTCTACTCCAGTTACAGTTGGCGCATGTGACAAATGTGAGCAGATTTCCCACAGTCAAAGTCCTGCAATAAGAGCTAAGACGCTAATATTTGTTAGCTAGCTAATGGCTGAAGTTGTTTGTGTAAACAAACCTTCCATAAACAAATATAGCTAGCTACCTTTTTTTGCCTGTTTGTTAGCTAGCTAGCTTTCAGCTTACTGGTGTTCGCTTGCTAGCTACAGAGGCTAGCTGATGGAATTTGGACAAGCAAGCTAACGTTAGCTAACAACAGATGTGTTGTTGCCGAGCAACGGAGTTGCTGACCCGGTTACATATAATTCTGAGATTTGTCCCCAATTTCTTTTTTTTGCATTGTCAAAAATGCTACAAAAAGGTAGCACATCGTTATTTCTTAATGACTGGAAATGTGCACGTGAGAGTGATAAATCATACATTTAATAAAAACTGTTGCACCTACAAATGTTTAAGTCCAATGGTCATTTTATGGACGCTATAGTCTCGTTTTAATCCCACGTCTAGAATTTGAGCTAGGTAGCCGCAGAAAATAC